TTTCTGTAGATGACAGGTCTCTGATTTGTGCTGGAAGTCTGAGGTGTACAGGGTGAAAAGGAATGGTGAGAGTACAGTCCCCTGTGGTGCTCCAATGTTACTGATCGCCTGGTTTGATGTGCAGTTCTTCAGCCTCACAAACTGTGGTCTGTTTGTCAGGTAGTCTTTAATCTAGGCGATAGTTGAGGCCCCCACCTGTGTCTTCTGGAGTTTCTGGCAAAGTACATCATGTTGGATTGTGTTAAATGCACTGGAGAAATCAAAGAACATGACCCTCACTGTGCTGCCTGCTTTGTCCAGATGACAGTGGGTTGGTTGAAGCAGCTTATGTTTATGCCCATCCTTTTTAACCAACTAAACTATTTAATCTACCCCTTTAACACATACATCTGTACAATTTAAGCAAGAAATAGAAAAGAAGAGAATTATACACCATTTAGTCAAATAAGTTCACAATATTCTTACATTTTCTCTTCAAGGCACTCGAGGAGTACAGACGCTTCTCTCTTTCGCTCCCTTATCTTTTTTTCCCAAGGCTCTTTGTCCTGTCTGCCCACAGAGTGCTTCTCTGTATTTCTTCTGAAAAACTCTTTTTACTATCCATGGATTTGATAAATTGGTCATTCGATGTGATTGATAAGATTTTTTTCAACAATGAGAATGGAGCAGGGGGCTCCCACATGTCCACAGGGGACACACCCGGTGGGATATATGCTGGATTCCTGGAAGATCACGTGCCTCTCCCAGCTGTCCATTGAGGACATCGAAGACGTGTGGATATTCGGTCTGATGATCACTGGATTTCTGATTGGAGTGGGAGGATATCTGGTTTTCTGGAAATTTGGGAAGACGGGAGCGATTGGAGGGCGACCCGCACCCACGGAAAGCACCGTCCGTGTGGAGACTTCTCAGACTGGGACGTTACTCGAGGTGAATCGTAAGCTGGACAATGTTCTAGCTGCGATATCGGTATTAGTGCGCAAAATGGATGTCATCTCGGAGCGAGTCACCGGACGATATGGACAGGTTTAAAAACCCAAAATTGGCTTCACTGAAGGACTGGAATGATCAGTTTAAAGACTGAAGGCAGAGAGGAAAATTATCTCAGCCTGACCCAAACAAAGTCTTGTTATCCGAATCTGATGCCCTGGTAGCCTTGAGCTGCAAGCAACTAAAACCTCCACGAAGGAATGCAGACAGATGCGGTGAAAACCCGACCCGACCCCGCCCCCCCGACCCCCCCACAACCGCCTTCAGATTGGAGGACTTCAGCCTGGCGAGGTCATCAGCTGGAGGAGTCAATGTGCTCTTTGCTTCTCCCCAAATCTCCCTCCCGCTGTGACTGTACATTAGAAGGGTGCCAGATGGCTGCTCTCGCTGGGGGAAACAGGATCCAAGTTTATTACTATCTTTAAAATCATACTTAGTTTCTACACAAGAAAAAAAATTCTATATACTTTGCGGAAGTAACTTAAATTTAGCTTTATACATTATGCTGAAGCTATTTTGCGCAGTTTAGGCGTAAGTTAATTTGTTTAGCATTATGCTTTTTGTTTATTATTTTTGGCTAATTAGTTTATTGATACTTTTGTTCATTGGTCAGGTGTGGGTGATTATTTGTATACATAGGTGAAGGTGGGTGGAGCAGCGAGGGGACGTGGTTTTTTACCACAGAGACAGAGAGGACGCAAAAATCTGTGCTTTTGCTTCTTGAGCGAATAAACCACCACCAAATGCAATTCTGGCATGGACATGGCTTGATTTAAAACCTTATACCCGTGCGTAAAGCCCAAGCCTTGACGTAGCCGAGTTGCCATTTGAAAGTATTTGATTAGTTTTTGTTTTATGGACAAATAGCCGCTACACATTAGCATTATTTTATAGTACACTAAATCAGGACATTTTATAACATGTTATTTTAAAAACAGATGTGTATCATCAAGTAATTAAGTTTTTTTTAGGTCTGCTGGAGTCATTTCTACTTTTTTTAATCTCAATAAAGTTTTCACGTCAAAGATTTAAGGCCAATCAGCAGGTGCAGCTGCAGAAGTGGAATGCAGCCCTCTACACACTTGTGCCTTTTTCCCCAACCAAACACCTATTTAATCTTTTTTGTGCAAATGTTATTCTTTAAGTGTGTGTGTGCGCGTGCGTGCGTGTGTGTGTGTGTGTGTGTGTGTGTGTGTGTGATCCAAACTAGAGCCACTTCAACTGGCTCCTCTTGATGAGAAGGACCAGCAGGTCTTTGAGCTCCTCCCTCAACACCTTGGCTGCACCTACAAGTCTGGTCCATAAAACTTGTAAACAGAATCAGGGACAAAGGGAAGCGGAGCCCAACTCTGCCGGCAATGCAGACCAAGCTCTGACACCGGTCTTACAGAGGCGTGGTACCCCACACTGCCAAAGTACCCTTTACCCTGAGGGATGAGGTACAAAGCCTTCTCCAAATCCCCAAAACACATGTAGATTGGACACTCCCACGCACCCCCCAGGACCCCCTAAGGGTATAGTCCAGTGTACCCAGTCTGCTAATCCAGGGGAACTGCCCCAGATGCGCCGTCAGCCAACACAGCCCTACAACATCCAGAGCCTCACGGGCAGATCTCATCCACCCCCAGGGCCTAGACACCGAGGAGCTTTTCAACCACCTCAGTGACCTCAGCCCCAGAGGTAGCTGATTAGGGACGACTGAAGAACACATAAGATAAACAACAACTTACGTGAACTGTGGTCAGATACATGGATTTACAGCAGAAGGAACCAGTAACAACCAATTAGCAGAGGATACTGGGAAAGGACTGGAGAATGAGGTGTGAACCAGTAAAGGCTAATCAGGATCAAGTGGAGACAGCTGGGAAGGAAAGGGGCAGAAAGGAATCAGGAAAGTGAGAAACAGCTGCGCAGGAAGGGTGAAAACTAAAGAAAAACGAAACCACAAGGAAAATAAACGAAGGAAACACACGAGCATCAGGGCAAAGCCCCAAGACTCTTTTCAAAAGTCGGACCTAGGAATAATAAAACAATAAATAACATAAAATAGACGTTAGAAATTCCTCAAACACCAAAATGACACAAAACAGGAAGACGAAGCAAACTGAATATATTTATTTCACAACGAACTTTTGTGGATTCTTGCCTTTGCAGAATCTTTTAATTATTATTTTTATTTAAACTGCTGAAAATGGATTTGCATGTTTGAAATAATTAAATAATTATGATTATAATAAGTTTGTTGGGTTACAACTTTTCCTCAAAACTGGAAAAAATACCAAGTCTCCTAAACTAAAACAAACGCGGTTAAACGAGAAATGCTCTGGCTGCTTTTTCCCTCCTCCTCTCGTCTCCTGCTCTCAGAAATATAATTACAGCGTCTTCTTTTTTTATTAGCAGATAATGGACCCCTGGATATCCTGTCTACACTCAATTAACAGCAGCTAAACCGTCTCTCATCTCCTTCTGTCTGCAGCAGCAGGAAGGAAGGAGGGAAGGAAGGAAGGAAGGAAGGAAGGAAGGAAGGAAGGAAGGAAGGAAGGAAGGGTCTGAAATAACTTCCAAAAACCCTGAACAAGGTGAGATTCAAGTGAGCGGTCTTCAGCGCCATGGACGTAATTTTCACTTTAGAAGTGGGGGGGACACACGGGGTGGGGGGGTGGGGGGGTATCTTTACAGTATGCTCTAATGGGAAACAGGCTTCAACACAAACAGTTGTTTTCTGCTTGGTCCTAGAGCTCAACCAGTGTTACCTTAAAATAGTGTAATATTGTGTTTGGATGGTAAAAAGTGCAGGGGTCAAAACTTGACTTTGGAAAAAGCGGGGGGGGGGGGGGGGGGGGGGGGTACATGTCCCCCCCTAACCCCCCCACCCCCCAAATTTGGTCCATGTTCAGCGCAGCTGCATACTACTTTACATCCCTTTTGTTTAGATGTTAGTCATTAATTACAGGCTTGAGACGTCAGAAACACACCGCTGGTGTGTGTGATTTGTGTTGTTACGTCACCCGGATCCCCAAGGACCCATGTGCAAGAGAGCTGAGACAGTATCACCTGGCAGGGCTCACACACACACACACACACACACACACACACACACACACACACACACACACACACACACACTGCTCTGGGTGAAATCTGGCAGGTTTTAGCTGACAGGAGCATCATCTAGCATCATCTCACCACAGCAGCAGCAGAGGGAGCCAGCTCCTGAGAGACGAGAGCCTAGAAAAGAGGATTTTACAAACACGGTGTTTTCATGAGCAGAAGCTTTCTGGAGCATCTAGGACTTCCTGTTCCACCAGATCTCAACTCAGCGTGGAACGTTTAGATCCTTTTTCTCCTCCGCTGGATCCTTTATAAGCCACCTGTGGAGCTGCAGGGCAAAGGGATCAACGTGGACTGTCAACAAAATAATAGAATAGCAATAGAGTACAATAGAAATAAGCTCTATTGTCACACAGAGGAACTCAGGTGAGCTACCAGCCGGTTACAGGTAAACACATGTCCTCACAAAACAACAGAAATAGAAAGATGACAACAACTAAAGTTTTTGTGCATTAAATATGTAAAAAAACTGAAAATAATTCAGAAAAATGGTGCAAAAAGCAACCGTGATGCTAAATAATCAAGTTAATACATGTCGCAACATTAGAAGAATGATTAGTTTTTCATTTTGGAACTAATCATAAATCATTCCTAATTTGATGACATATTTTCTGTATTTCTTAGTTATTATTAGTTTGTGCCGATAAATGCAGTTCTCCGGATCATCTGATCTACTCATTTATCTAAATCCTGATGCACTTCCTTCCACCCCGCGTGTGCAACAGCTACAGAAATATTCAGTACTACACATTTAATTTTAGCAAATGAGGAAATGACTCACCTTCTGAAAACCACGTGTCTCCCTCTAGTGGTCAAACCGAGTACTTACACGGTGTGCAGTCGAAATGTTAAAAGTATGCTAATATTTATCTGTAATAGAGTAAAAAAGCACCAGTAAA